AACTAAAAAAAATACAAATTTACAGTTTCCATGTTTCCTATATAAATACATTCATTTCTGCACAGTAGTTTATTGAGAACCATACCAATACAGACAAAAAAAAGCACAAGTATAAAAATACAGCTAGTATTTTAATTATATTATGAAAAATGTCCAATTTTCATAAAACATAAAACCATACTATGTTCCCAAAACCCAAGACACTGTAATTCATAATTTTTGATTTAGTAAAATTAAAGTTTTGTGAAATGAAGCTTTTTTTTGTATGAAAGACCCAAATCATATAACCATTAATGAAAATTCTTGAAATTATTGAAATATATATTTTTTGAAACCTGTCAATCTTTAAGTCAGTAGTAATTGGTAATGATAAAGACAGAGGTAATGAAAAAACTTTTAATTTAATCTGTCTTATGCAAATGGATAATGGGCATAAAAATGCTTACCACTTTTATGAAAAAAAGCATTTAAAAAAGTTATAAAAATATTTTCAATTAAAGTTGATATTTCAGTATTATATTAGTTTCAGGTGTACAGCAGTCATTAGACATTTATGTAACTTCCACAGTGATGCCCCCTGTTAAGTCATGCACTCATGTGACACCATATGCAGTTACTGCAGCACTACTGTCTATATTCCCTATGCTGTACTTTACATCCCTGTGACTATTCTGTAACTGCCCATTTGTACTTCTTACACCCTTTACCTTTTTCGCTGGCTCCCAACTCCCTTCCATCTGACAACAGTTTGTCCTCTGCATCTATGAGTTTGTTCGTTTTGTCTGTTCATTTATTTTTTTTAGATTTCACATAAAAGTGAAATCAGAAAAAAAGTATTTTTGATTTAAAGTAATATATGTAGTAATATAGAAAATGCATTTGGATTGATTTGAATTCTCTTCTACCTCTGCAGATTCCCAGAGTTATCCCACAGAGAAATAACCAAAGAATCAACAACAACAAAAACTCCTAGAACTAATAAGCAATTATAGCAAATTTGCAGGACACAAAGTTTATATACAAAAGTCACTTGCTTTCTTATACACCAGTAATAATCAATTGGTATTTAAATTTTAAAATACAATACTATATATATGCACCAAAATAAATGAAATACTTAAATATAAATCTAACAAAATATGTACAAGACCCATATAAGGAAAAATACAAAACTCAGATGAATAAAATTAAAGAAGTTCTAAAGAAATATTTATTCCATGTACATGAATAAGACAAAATATCAGTTCTTCCCAACTTGACCTATAGACTCAACACAATCCCAGCGAGTTATTTTGTGAATATAGATAAACTAATTCAAAAGTTTATATTGCAAGGCAAAAAGCCCAGAACAGTCAAAACAATATTGAAAGAGAAGAACAAGGTAAGAGGACCCACAATATCTGACTGGAAGATTTACTGTAAGCTACAGTAATCAAGACAGTATGGTACTGGTGAAAGAACAGACAAATAATAGATCAATAGAACAGATCAATGGGGCAGAACAGAGATCCCAGAAATAGACCCATACAAATATAGTCAACTAATCTTTTATAAAGAAGCAAAGGCCATTCAACAAAAAAAGAATAATGATTTCAAAGAATGGTGCTGGAATAACCAGACATCCATGTACAAAAAAATGGATGTAGACAAAGACTTTACACCTTTCACAAAAATTAACTCAAAATAGATCACACATCTAAAAATAAAATGTAAAACTACAAAACTTCTAGAAGATAACATAGGAGAAAATTAGATGACCTTAGGTTGGCAATGACTTTTGAGATACAAAACCAACAATGCATGAAAGAATTCATTGACAAGTTGGACTTCATTAAAATTAAAATTTTCTGTTGTGAGAAAGAAAATTTACGAGAATGAAAAGACAATCCATGGAACTGGGAGAAAATATTTGCAAAAAGATCTAGTTGATAAAGGATTGGTATCCAAAATATACGAAGAACTCTTAAAACTCAACAATAAGAAAATGAAAAATCCAATTAAAAAATGGGCACAAGATCTGAACAGACATCTCATCAAAGAAGATATACAGGTGGCAAACAAGCATATGAAAAGATGCTCAACATCATACATCACTAGGTAACTACAAATAAAAAGTTCAATGAGATACCACTGCACATGTACTAGAATGGATAAAATCCCAAGCACTGACAATACCAAAGGCTGGGGAAGATGTAGAGAAACCGCAACTCTCATTCCTTTCTGGTGGGAATGTAAAATGGTACAGACACTTTAGAAAACAGCTGGCAGTGTCTTACAAAACTAAACATACTCTTAATATACAATCCAGCAATCATGTTCCTTGGTATTTACCCAAAGGAGTTGAAAATTTATGTCCACACAAAAACCTGCACACGAATGTTTACAGCAGCTTCATTTTTAACTGCTAAAACTTAGAAGCAATCAAGATGCCCTGCAGTAGGTAAAAGGATAAATAAACTGAGGTACATCCAAACAAGAGAATATTATTCATCATTATAAAGAGCTATCAAGCCATGATAAAACATGGAAGGACTTTAAATGGATATTGCAAAGTCAAAGAAGCCAATCTCAGAGATTCCACCTATATGACACTGTGGAAAACTATGGTGACAGTAAAAAGATCAGTAGTTGCAGGGATTCAAGGAGAGGGAAGGAGAGAAGAATATTGAGAACATGAGATTGTCAGAGCAGTGAAAGTATTGTGTGTGATACTGTAATGGTAGATACATATCATTAAATATTAGTGAAAGCCCATAAAATGTACAACACAAAGAATTAATCTAATGTAGACTATGGACTTTAATTAATAATTGATATTGATACTGGCTTCACAATTTTAACGAATGCACCAAACTAATGCAAGATATTAATAATAGGGAAAACGGGGGTGGGGGGTTGGGAGGTATATATATAAATAGGTATATATATAGGTATATAAATTCTAAACTTTCTGCTCAGTTTTTCTATAACCTGAAACTGCCCTTCCCCAAATAAAGTTTATTAATTTTTTTAAAAAGCAGTATCAATTATAAAAAATAATAATAATAAAGTCTAACATTAAGAAGAAGAAATAAATTTTTAAAATTCACGACACACTTGGAATTCTGCTTAGAACAGAAAGCCAATAGAGGTTTTGGGAGAAAAGCAGCTGTTACTCTGTGCTGTCAAAATAAACTCTGGACAGCTCTCTGATAACCACTCATTTGGGTGCTCCCGAACAACTATGTTTGCAGTAAATACCAAGATTCAATACTAGGAAGCTCTGAAATTATCTTCCTTATCTCCAATTTCTTTTAAATATAGACTCTGGAAAGCCTCCCTTTCTTTCTGACTCAAAAAGCAAGTAATTGAATCAAATATATTTTTTTAAGTGTTCCCGAAGACTAAATCCTATTTCTCCTTTGTTAAATAACAGCTCTCTGCTAGTCTCTCCAGCAAGCAGCAGTGTTCATAATGCCATGTCTTCTCCTCCCACAGAATTTAGTTCTTCCTTCTAGTGATACATTTTTCACACTTACATTTGTCATTTTTTACATTTTACATTTGTCAGCTGGCTGAATATTGATCTGACCTATCCCCTGTGAGCTCCTGAAGACAGGGACTGTGTCACAGTCGTTTCATCCTAAGACCTCAACCTAAAAAGCATAACTAATCAAAATGTTTGTACATGTTAAGTGATGGACATGTTACTCAAACTAACTAGCTAACCTGCCAGGAAAGTGAAACCGGAGTTGCCAGCTTTAGGTGCTGCAAAATCCAGGACATGTGTGTGTGTGTCTGTGAGTGTGTGTGTCTCTTTGTGTGTCTCTGTGTGTGTGTGTCTGTGTATGTGTGCACGCCCCTTCCTCCCTCCCCATCTCATTTCCTTCATCTCCCTGCTCTGATTTCCTCCGTGTTACTTCATTCTCAGAAAGTCTAGCTTAACAAACCTACAAAAAGAAAAAACTTCTTTGCAACGGTTTTAGTGAAAATATTGAGGCTCCTCCATAAACTGATCCTTGTGACGTGACCCTGTCTAGCCAAGCTTATATCACATGCCCATAACACAGCGAGGTCACCTCCTCTAACTACATAACCTAAAAACAAAGAAAGGGTGATTGACTGCCCAGGGAAAATCTGGGTCATTTGTTGAAAGAAGTATGAAAAGGACGTGGGGTAGGCAGAGTCGACAGACATTTACTACTTCACAGGTTCTCAAGACTGCTGACCCGCTCTCCTCTTTGTATTATATATAATGTCGAGTTACCCACTGAATATCCAATACAAAATGTTTGTAGTGCCTGTCCCTGTACAATATACTTTTTCAAAATGAATTATTTTCCACCTTATTGCCACACATGAGGTTGTTTATACAGTTTCATTTCCTCTGGTCCACAGTAAGACTATTTTGCACTTATTTATATTCCTATTATTTTCAGGACATGCCAAAAGCACCCTGCTGAAACCAAATGTGTTGCAAGCTTTTGTTTGGGGGTAGATAAAATAAAAACTTGCCATGCAAAAGAGCACAGAATATCCCCTAGCCTCCCCACCTCATCCTCCACCTCCACCCCCAAAAAATGTCAGGTTTCCACGGTCCACACTTCACAGTCTGAAAACACAAACGAGAGCAAGTCCCTGAAAGTACCAATGCCAGTTTGTGCTTTCTCAGACACTGCTTTCTCTCCAGAATAAAACCAATACCATCAAGGTTGCTGTGAGTCGCCTCTTGTTGTGGCTTCATATACATTTGTGATTGAGATCTTCTTCCTCTCTTCTCCAAGAAGAGAAGAGTGTGGGACAGAGGAAAGGAAGACGGGAGAGAAAAAGAGGAAGACAACAACACACTGTACACAGAAGTTTGTTAGGCTATATCTGCCATTTATATGATGCTAGGACTCTTTCGTGCAACTGAAATGATTATTTGGGGTTGTCTCAAAAATACTTTATGGAATAAACAAAGCAACTTTTTCCTTTTGAAGCCAATTCACTTTATCCAGCCTCTCTTATCTTATACCAACCTGATTTTGCTTAAGTTATGGTCTGTCTCAGGCTTTCACAGCAGCTTTCTTTTATGGATTTTCCATCCAGCAAATGTTTCTGTTCCACGGCTGGGCAGATCCGACCACAGCATGCTTGGCTACGGATCACTGCAGCTCACCCACAGCAGCTCTAACCTGGAGGGGGCAAAGGCCAGAAGCCATTATAGGGATTCAGCTTCACAAACACTCTCTCTCTCTCTCTCTCTCTCTCTCTCTCTCTCAAGAGTGAATGTTTGGTAGAATGACTCTAAACATCTCTCATATATTTAAAATCATTAATGAACAGAAACAATAGCTTATAAGGTATCTTAAAGACAAGGCTGGGCTATTCTGAGGGTAGGATTGAAGTATTTAATCATTATTGAAAAGGTTTGGCCAAACAATTATGCTCTGTTTGTGGAAAATTTAAAAGCCAGATGTTTTAATTAACCACAGAAAACACAAGCTACAACTAAAATTTCATGAACACACTGATCTGCCCTGTGGAAAACCACAGGAATGTTCTGGCAAGGCTCAGTCTGAATTCTTGGGACACAGAGGGCTGGAACCATTCCCCTTAGGAACTTGAACAGAAAATTAACTTGCTCAATATGTTTTTTAAAAAGTAAAATGAAACCCAGATTTAATCTCAATCAAATATAAAAAACATTTCAGGACTTCAAAGGGTACCACCAAAAGACACATAAGGAAAAGGTCATAAAAAATTCCAATGTGATTCAGAATTTAGAATGTATTTCCAAGGCAAAGTGAATGATGCAACAGAAATATGTATAGGCTAAATCATCCAAAAGAAAACTAATCATTTTTCATTTCATAATAAAGGAAAATGATATAGGAAACCAATATTCAACACATCAATCATAAATATCATCAAAAGTATAATATATTTGAGCAAAAGGAATCTCTTAAATATCCTACTTCATGCCAAACCTGTGGCCTGGCTCACAGTAGCTATCATGTTTCAACTTGAAGAATCATGGCATCCAGAGACAGTGTTAAAGCAATGTATGGTCATTAATGTTGCACCTAGCAATATTGGCAGAAATGTAAAATGAGAGAATCTTACAAAAGCAATTAGTGAACAATTAAGAGCTAACAGACTAGGAAGTCTTCATCTGTTAGTTACAGTGATAACTATGACAACATCAATACATGCTAAATATTGAAATCATATTCAAGAGAGAACAGGACAAATGTTATTTTCAGATACTGGGTCCATAATTCTATTTCTTAAGTCAAAACAGACCCTGTCACAAGTGTGCCAACCATAATATTACATTTATTCTCTACCTTCATTTGGAAACTAAGTCCCAAAAATCATCTCAAAAGGAACACAGCAGGGAAAAAAAAGCAAGATACCAAGTTATACATGTATGGTATAATCCCAGTTTTGTTCTACAAACTGAGTGTGTATAATCTAAAGGCACAAAAGTATGAACAATAACTCTTTCTGGGTCATGGAATTAGAGGATATTTGTATTTCCTTCTTGGTGTTTCCAAATTTTCTACAATTAATATGTATTGCTTGTAGTATTAGAATATTTTTAAATAAGGTTTTTATTAAATGGTATGGGAATACAAATCAGAAATGAGATATGATACTATATTAGCCTGATCTGTGGGCTTCCTCTGATCCGAACAATAAGAGCTAATAAATTAAGAAGTTTTTGTTTATCTGAACTCAGTAATTCTTAATTTAGAAGTTCAAAACCCAAGTGTCCAATAACACTTCCAAGGCTAACAACAGTACTTTCCTAGAAGTAAGAAAACCTTTTTCTTATTCTGCTAACTTGCCATAAAGAGACAAGAAGACCACGGTTATTTCCCTCCCTAACTAACATGCCCAAACTTCTCTATCGCTGGCCATGCCATATAAATGTCGTTTAATTAGAAAGTGCCTCCTTGGTGTTACCTACAACTTCACAGGAGTACAGCCTTCAGTAAACATTGGTATACCCCACTTTCTGCGACTCAGCATCTCAGAAAACATAAAACACAATGGTGGAATCTTAGCACTGGGAGACTTGAAAATCCAGCATTCCAAGAAGCCCAAGCCCACCCCCATCCCCAGACACTGATGCTGAGAGAAGTCAAATATTTTTCCAGAGGCCACACAGCCAGCAGAGCAAGGATGACGGTCCAGATCACCTGCTTCCACTTTGACCAAGTGCTCTTTCAAACACCACAACATCTCAACACGCACTCTTTGAAATACGAGTTTGTATGAACTATCCTCATATGTTAAATTCATATCAGCAAAACCTGCAAAACAAGACAGAAATTTGTTCCACCAAAAATGAAATGCATGCAGGAAAAAAGCCAAGACTCAACTACAGGCTAAAAAAGACCGCCCAGGACACATTCAGTAGGAGAAACAATGGGGGCAGTGTGCTCGGGCAGCAGGTGTCCCGAACAGAAACTGCCTATCACACTGAAAGCTTTCTGGTCCTAGGAGTTGCTCCATTGATAACAGTACATTCCCACTGCTCAAAGCAGGACAAAAGATTTTCGACAAGATAATACTATACTTGCACCAAGCCACCTGTAAGAGATAAGTAGGATGCACACTCAGCCCAGTGTTGGAAATAAGTGATTTACTGGCATCAAGTCCTGGTCTCTTCCTTCCAAAAGGGCCCAAGTTTTAGGTGAGAGACATTAATGATTTCAAAAATTAAGAAAACAAGTCACTAAGAACTAAACCAAAATAATCCAAATGCTTCATATCTTATATCTGATGTGACCTTACAGAGTGAGCAGGATTTTTCTTTCTTCTAAATGATTTATTAGAAATATTACTCATCTCCACTTCTTTCTTAGTATTTACATACACTGTCCATGCCACACCAATCAGAAAACTAAGAGTCTCACAAAATGTGAACAGCCTGAAAACAAGAGAAAAGGACAGATGGCAATGACAAACTCAGAAACGCTCCCTGAAAAGCCTTTATTGAGCTCACTTATCGTCATGCAACAGGACAACAAAGGCATGAACTGTGAAGCTACTAATAAAAAAAGCTGCATCGAGGGGTGATGTGATCTTGCTTTATAAGAGCCAGAACAAACACAATGGCTCATCTGAGAAGTCAGGCACCCGATGAGAAAATAAAATGTTTTTTTTTTCCACCCCAAACTACTCCTCAAGTCCCTATATATTCCCATGGCTTGATCCTCAAGGAAAGGCCATTAACAGCAGTTTATTCCCATCTATGCCTCAGTTCTAATACTAAAGGTCAATGTCTACCATGGGCACAAGGAATTAGATTCTTGTTGCTATTTCATGATGAAATCAAAGCTTTGTGATGAGTACTGTTCAAGTAACTCTTTAAAGTCATTTGTATGGTAATGGCAGCAAGTTTAAAACTAGCAGTCTGGGAGAATGAACCCTGACCTACTAATCGAATTGGGTACAAT